GGAAGGAAGGAAGGAAGGAAGGAAGGAAGGAAGGAAGGAAGGAAGGAAGGAAGGAAGAGAAGAGAAGAAAAGCAAATGACAAGGCATTGGAAAAATAGGCTAGGAGCATAGCTTATCTGGTAAAATGCTTACCAAGCAGTCACAAAAGCCCTGGGTTCGATCCCCAGCACCACACACACCAGGCATGGTGGGACACACCCGTAGTCCTAGCACTAGGGAGTTTGAGATTGAAATTTCAAGGTCATACTTGGCTATATAAGTGAAAAGCCAGCATGGGCTACATGAGACCTTGTCTCAAGTTAATTAATTAATTAAGGAAATGAAAAAAGTAATAAAAATGACTCCCAAACCCTGTTATTACAGAAACCAAAGCACAGTGACTAGGTACCAGGGACAAGCTCAAGGCAAGGGGGGTCCTAATCAGGTCTGGGTAGCGCCACACTTCTTCACAGAAGTCACCTACCTCACAAGGAGGAAGGAACTCAGAGTCAATGTCAAAGGCCCTCTTCTTCGTCTCTCCTGGCCCTGAAGTCAACAGTCACTCCAGCAGACCCACCCTGGTCAGGGGCCAGAGGCGGGAGAGATAGTGTTCAGAGCTGACCACGTAGGGCAGGTAAGGTTAAGCCCATCCCTCGCCCAGGAGATCGATGGCGTGTGTCCCACCAAGAGGCTGACCCAGGAAGGGCAGAACACACTGATGATGGGAAAGACCCCAAGTCCAACTCTGCCACCGAGTGACTGGGAAGTGTGGGGGCGGGGGGTTCAACCACACTGAGCACGGAGCCTAGTAACACCTCTCAATGAGTGCACATGATCCCACAAAGCACGTGAGCCTGCCTCACTCGGAGCCCGGGACTCATAAACCACTCCACGAAAGCCAGCTGAGAGGATCCGGGAGGACATGGGCAGGTGCGACACCAGCGCTGAGTTTTTCCGTGTATGACCCACGGGACTCTGAACAAACACTTCGGCAGAACTCATCCGTGAGGAATGAGTCCAGGTCCCATGGCTCCACTCCCAGAAAGTGTCCCCTGACTGTCCCAGCCTCAGCAGTGGCTCCTCCCTCTGAGCTTCAGTGGTACTTACATGACTAAGCACAGGTCACTCACAGGTTGTTTGTGAGCATCAAAATTTCTCTCTCCAGCTGGGCGTGGTGGCATGCACCTTTAATCCCAGCACTGGGGAGTTCGGGGGGGCCTACCTGGTCTGGGCTACATAGTGAGACCCAGGACAGCCAGAGAGCTACATCATAAAGAGACCCTGTCTCAAAAAAAAAAAAAAAAAAAAAAAAAAGCAAAAAACAAACAAACAGAAAAAAAAGAGAAATCTCCCCTCCCACATTGCTCCCTTCCCCTCCCCTTCCCCACTGGCCTGTGAGCACATCCACCCTAGGCTTCTCTTGTACTCTCACCAATACAGATACTCCGGAAGTACCTCCAGTGGTGACGGGCCACGCCCACCACTTGGATTTCAAATCTGAATGCAAGTCAAGTGACTCTTCCAATAGGTTGAAAAGGGTCCTAAATCTGCATACATAAACAGCCTGCATAGCTCGGGCCAGTGAGTGACAGTGGGGGGGGGGGGGCCGGCGGCGCCGCGGTGACAAACGGGACCCCACCACTTTCAACATGTAGCCGCCTACTCCCTAGGCCTGAATTAGCGTTGCCAAAATTGAAGTGACGTACTTGTCTTTACTTTTTAAACTTTACTTATTTAACTTTATTTTATGTGCTCTGGCATTTTGTCCAAATTCATGTCTGTGTAAAGGTGCTGGATCCCCTGGCACTGTAGTTACAGACCGTTGGGAGCTGCCATGTGGGTGCTGGGAATTGAACCCGGGTCCTCTGGGAGAGCAGCCAGTGCTCTTAACCACTGAGTCATCTCTCCAGCCCTTAATTTTACTTCTCTCTCTCTCTCTCTCTCTCTCTCTCTCTCTCTCTCTCTCTCTCTCTCTCTCTTGTGTGTGTGTGTGTGTGTGTGTGTGTGTGTGTGTGTGTGTGTGCAGGCTCAAGTGTGCTGTGGGACACATTTAGAGGTAAGAAGACACCTTTCAAGAATGTGTTCTCCCCACGGTAGGTTCTTAGATCAAACTCAGGTCACCAGGTGTGGCAGCAAGTGTTTTACCCACTGAGCCCTCTCAGTGGCCCTGACGTCACTTACCCTAACTCCTTCACACACAGGGAAACTGAGGATCAAGGAAGGGAGGCCAACAGCTAGATGGACACAGAGACCCCACGTCTCCTGATTCTTAGCCTGGGGCTCTTCCTGCATACCATCTTCTCTCCTTCCCCTCTCCAATACTCATGATCAATAATCATTATGTATGTTAGGTATACAGGGCATAAGAATAAAAGGAAAAAAATGACAGGATTTAACTCTAACTTGTGATTTTTTTGAAGATGAAATTTCTAAAGAACAGCCCCGGGACAATTCTGGACTCAAAACAAAAAATGGAAAGAAAATTTGCCAAGATGCGCAGGGCCTGTGCTACCCAGAAGAATATACTAGGCTGTCACTCAGCCCCTATGCCTGCAATTCTATCAGCTGTCACCAGGTGGAGATACAGCTGTGGGTTATCGATGAAGGAAGTCCCTGGGAAAACCACCAGGGAGTAGAAACTCCGACACCCCAGTGTGGGTCAGGGTGGACCAGAAAGCACGAACAGGAACAACATATAAAGTCCAGGTGACAAAGCAACTTACTAGGAAGAAGGACTCCCTTATCTCAAGGATGCCCTGGGTGCAGCATAGAGACATCCTAGGAAATCTAAAACCATTGCCTAAAACATCAGCTGCCTACATTCACCACACTCACCACTGGCCAAGCAGCCATTCATATCACCTAAAGACTCTTTTCACCACAAGCGAGAAGTGCTCCACCAATCCAGCCGGGCACCTCTTCCAAGCCAGAGGACAGAGCAGGCAGGACTGTGTGGTGGAGAGACGACAGGTCACATTCTGTACAGGGGCCAAGATAGGGTAGCAGGACTCCAGAGCTGAGGGAGAAAAAAACCTGAGGAGGCTGGAGTGGGGTCCTGGCCCCACCAAGAGGCACCGAGAAAACTATCCATGTGCACTTAGTGGCCCCTTTGGCCCCAAAGCCTGGACCAAATGGATTTATTTAGTATCTAATAGGAGCTCAAAGAGAAAGGCTGGGGAGGAGGATGAGAAAAACACATTTGTCCTTGCTGGGTCTGGTGGCACAGGCCTGTAATAACAGCTACTCAGCAGGCTGAAGAGGGAGAATCATAAGTTCAAGACCTGCCTGGACTACAGAGCAAGTTCAAGGGCAACTCAGACTCTTCTCATAGCCCTGGTTTTAATCCCAGTACTGGTGGGGAGTGGGAGGCATGGGATGGGACACATAGTTATTGTGGGTTTTTTTTTTTTTCTTTTCAACATTTTAAAAAGAGAAACAGACAACTGTCAAAGCCAAGCCAGGCAGGGCTGTAGGCTGCCCCCTCCGCAGTCTATATAAACAGTTTTGAGCCCATTCACAATCTGCACATCAGCACTATCTGAACAATCAAGGCAATCGGCATCCCTCTGGAGCCAGCACAAACCAGGGGCCCCAGGCCAGCCCCACAGGGTCTCAGTCCTGGGCTTCGGGAAGCAGAGATCTGGTGAAGCCTTCGAGTAAAAGTGATGGCAGCGGAGTTAGGAAGAAACAGGAGCTATGGGCCCACAGGGGCCTGGGCTGTTTCATTATAACCAGGGCTATCCATTGCAGCCACCGGGTGGGGGATGCGGGAGACTTGGAAACTTTCAAGGAAGCTGGACACGGCGACATGTATCTATAATCCCAGCCCGGGGAAAGCCGAGGCTGGAGGATTTTGAGTCCCAGGCCAGCCTGGGCTACAGAGCAAGACCCTGTCTCAGAAAAATAAATAAAGGAGGAAAGGAAGGAGGAGAAAAGAAAACCAGAGGAAAAAGGAGGAGGAAGAAATGACCAAAGAAATCACTCCCAAGTCCACAGTGCTTGGACAGACAGAATAATCCCTGCCCACCTGCTCACCTGTCCCTTCCCCGAGTCTGTGATACAGCCCAGGACATGTTTAAATCTGCAATCTTCTGGTCACCCACCCCGGACAATAAAGAGACAAAGACAGGATAGACTAGAGGTGTCCCCACCTTTTGACACCACAACACGGCCCTGTCATCCACATGTGTATGAGCTGCATTCATAGCTCTCCTGGGACGAACTGGGCCCACAGGCCACAGGCTGGACATGCCTGATGGAACAAGCTTCCCACTGGCAGGCAGAATGAGCCAGTTATGGGCCAGTACAGAACAGTGATAGCCTGGGGGGGGGGGGATGGAGGCCTGTGGCCTGACCCCAGAGGGAGGAACCACAGGGTGCCAGCAACAGGTAGACAAAGACATGCCAGAGAGGAGAAGGCCTGCAGTCTGTTTCAGATCTCTGGGGACTTTCCTAGAAGGCAGTCAGTCCTCTGAGGGGCACCACTAATCCAAGCAGAATTCTGGAAAGTTCTCAATGCTGTGGGGCAGCCCCAGTTGTAAGATGGAAACATCACCCTTCCTCAATGGAGCTGTTAGGAAAACTAATTGATGATAAATCACTTCTGAGCAAGGGCTTTGCAAGCCATTAAGGGCTTCCCACATCAAGGCATGACCAATGAATAGGTGAGCAAACACGGGTAGACAGGAAGTTTTCACACAATAAATTTAAGGTGGGTGTGCTGTTCTGCTTTGACAGAGCTATTGTGAGCGCTGCGCGCGATTCCTCTGCCAGATGGGAAACCGGTCTCACCTAGATTCCAAACTGGGGGCTGGGGTACTTAAACCTTGACCATAGATAGCTCTGACCCAGCCCTTAAGGGCCAGAGCTTTACCACCTTATCTGCCGCCCTGAGATCTCTGCAAAAGAAACCACTGCGACACTCCGGACGCACCAGATGGTCCTATATTTAGTTACTGTTGTGGTCAACTGGGAACTTTAGAGCCTGGCAGCCGCTCTGCGGGGCAACCGGAGCCTCTGGAGCCATGTGCGCGAGCTGCCCCACCGCTGGCTCCAGCCAGGCTTCGGGACCCTGCCAAGGCCGAGAGCTGGTGTGGGGAGGTGAGGGGGCACGGTGCTTGTTCGCACCCCAGCTGTCCCAAAGGTGCACTCGAGACCAGAACAGAGCTGACCCACTTTCCCACTCAGGGGAAACAGCCCGCTGGGCAGTGAGCCGGACGTGTCGGCGCCTAGTTTCTGAGTCTTGGGGTTTGGGGAGCCCCGCGTGAGCATCCTCAGACTGTATCTGCCCATGACAGTACGCAGGGGCCAAAGGCAGGATTCCCCCAGACCGCATGCCCGCTGCCCGTGGCTGCTGGTCTCCAGCCCGGCACTGGTCTGGCAGTCGGGGACGGGGGCAAATAAAGCAAACAGACCAGGGGACTCTGGTGATCACACAGGCCGGGGGCGTCCCACGCTGCCAGGGGCGGAGAGGTACACTCCCGGAGCGACATGCGCAGCTGCCTCTCCCCGTGGGCACGGGCGTCTCCCTGGGGAAACGGAAGCTGGGCTGTCCGGGAGCGCTAACTACGAGCCTCCCACTCCCCCGAGCGATCGCGGGCTGGCGAGTCCACGACCCCGGACACTGCCCGAGCCGCCGCTCAGTGCTACCACCAGGTGTCCTGGGGGAGGGGAAAGGACGCGGCCAAGCCTGGGACCCTGCTTTCCCTTCTCCCCCAGCCCCTGCCACGCTCGGCCTCTGGCCACCGTTACTCTGCGCGGCGCGGAGCCTGTGGGCCGCTTGAGGCAGCACTTACGGCGACAATGCGTCCTAAGCCCTGCGCCCAGCAGTCACGCTCCCTCGGCGGCCGCCGGTACCCGGTGCAAGTTCTGAGCCCAAGGGGCGGAGCTCGAGGGGGCGGAGCCCAAGGGGCAGCCAGCTCTGTGCGCACGACCGCTCAGCCAATAGCGGTGCCAGGATGATAACTGGGGCGGGGCGAGGCCTGAGCTCCGGCTGCGCGAACCAATCAGCGCTCAGTTCTTTCTGCGCGCTCAGGAACCTAGGGAGGAACCGCTTTGTGTAGAGTCAGCCCGAGCCAGAGCGCTGGAGGCGGATGTCTGCACCTACATCTTGAGGGTGCTGCTCCCAGGCTGGGTTTTCTCCAGATGGGGCTGAGTCCGGCAGATCAGGGAACTTTGAAAAACGTGAAGAAACTCTAATTGAGGCCTCATAGTAACTTCATCTCTCCAAAGCCCAGGAAACATGGAATTAATGTCTATATAAATACCTGCTTCTCGGGGTCCTTGTGAGCATTGTTGCGTGCAGCGCGCTGCTGCGATGCAAAAACAAGACTCTCACCTCCAAGGGGATCAGAGAAGGTTTATCCTGGAGCCAAATATGAGTGGCCCTAGCCCTAGAACACAGATGCAGGTTATTCCATGTCCCAGTGTGGTCACAGTTCAACGAAGTTGTGTGTTGTTTCGTTTTTGTTTTGTTTTGTAAGATTCATGCGTATTTGCCTGCATGTGTATCTGTGTGTCTGGTAGCCTCAGAGGCCAGAAAGAGGGGTGATGATCATCCCCTGAAATTAGAGTTACAGAAAACTGTGAGCCATGTCCAGCTGGGAACCGATCCTCTGTATGAGCAGTAACTACTCTTCACTGATGAGCCGTTGCTCCAGCCTCTTGGTGAAGGTTTGATAGCAACAGAACAAAGAAAGTCATAAATCGAGGCACGTTTCACGTGTATTGGTGAGGATCCCAGATAACCAGGCTACAGCCAAGGGGAGGGTGGGGAGATCTCAGCTATAGGCTGTCGGATGCTAGTCTAAAGGCAATTAGCCCTTTGGTTGATTGGAAACTAGAGGGCTGTTCATGCATTCTAAATGATTTATAGAATGGTTACAAAGCTGTTAGGCCAGGTAGAGAGCAGGGCAAGCTGTAGTTGTTAAGCAGCATAAACATGCCTCAAAATAATCTGGCTCAGGACCTGCAACATTCCAACCTCTCTGCATCTCCAAGGTTCTAATCAGTAAATCAGATTAGCTGAAGGTGTAATTCGGTCATTTTTTATGCACAGTGCCCAGACTAAGCATCCGGAGACCTTCTATTGTGTAACTGTTTCCGAAAACACCCCAAACGGCAGGAATCTCCTTAAACAATATGGAATTCAAAATAACTTCAGGAACCTCCTTAAACAGGAAGGGTAATAACTCAAAATAGCTTCAGGAAGTCCCTGAAACCGACCAGATTCACTAGCACCCCCCCCCCCCCCCCCCCCCCGCCAGAGTCAGCAATAAACTTGTCATACAACACCTTCCTTTAGGGATGTACCCTCCCTGGGCTCTTGGTTTGGAGTCCCCTCTGCTTCTTCATTCTTGAAATCTCCATGAAAAGAGACAAGACACACTTTTAGTGATGCCTTTATTGCCTAATGGAGCAGAGCACACTCCTAAGGCATAAGAGTAAACAATGGCCCCAAGGACCACTCTCCAGTCTACTTTTTAGGCAGGCCTTAGGCTGTTTCTGAAGTCTCCAGAACAGGTCATTTTTTCCTGAGGGAATTTGTCCTCTGTGTGTCTGTGTGTGGGTCACCTGTGAGTGCAGGCACATGCATACATAAGTGGAGATCAGAGAACAGTTCCTGCTATGGGTCCTCACCTTCCGCCTGGAGATAGAATCTCGGGCACACCACTACATGCGCTCGAGTTTGTTAGACAGGGACCATATGAGGCTCAGGATTTCCAGAGCCAGGCCTATTAATCACCTTCCAGACAGTTCTGGTTGTCACACTTCCCAGGGTCAGAGGACTCAGGTCTCATCCACTCCGGTCTCATCCCTCTGACTAGCCAATAGAGCCCTGCAATTTCAGTCCTTGGTTTTCCAAACTGTTGAGGATGAAGGAGTCAGTCCCAATGTCTTCCAGGCCTGCTAATGTTTACAAAGCTGCCTGACATTGCCACATACCCTTCCCAGGGAAGAGGGGAAGACAAGAAGAGATCGTCTCCTCCTCTAACACACACACACACACACACACACACACACACACTATGGGGAGGTCTGGAGAATGAATATTGAATTCGTCCACTGAGGAGGCTTTGGCAGTACAGCACATTTCTTAGGACCTTAGGGTTTATGTCCCCCTAAAAGATATATTAATTCTAATCTTGGAGCTGGGAGTGTAGCTCAGCTCATAGAGTGCTTGCGCTTGCAGGAACCCTGAGTTTGGTCCCCAGCACCTCAAAAACCAGGCATGCTAGTGGAATCCCAGCACCCAAAAGGGGGAGGCAGGAAGATCAGAAGGTCAAGATGACCCCCAGCTACTGTGGTGGTTCGAATAGGCATGGCCCCCATTGACTCAAGGTGTTTGAATGCTTGGCCCATACTCAGCGGCACTAGTAGGAGGTGTGGCCTTGTTGGAGTGGGTGTGGCCTTGTTGGAGTGGGTGTGGCCTTGTTGGAGTGGGTGTGGCCTTGTTGGAGTGGGTGTGGCCTTGTTGGAGGAAGTGTGTCCCTGTGGAAGTGGGCTTTGAGGCCTTATAAGCTCAAGTCCAGCTAGTGTGACAGTTATTCCTTCTGCTGCCTGTGGATCAAAATATAGAACTTTCAGCTCCTTCTCCAGCAAACTATAAGCCAGCCAGAATTAAATGTTTTCTTTTGATTGTGTGAGCCTTCCCGTGGTGTCCTTGACCCCTCTGGCTCCAACACTCCTTTCTCCAACTCCACAGGATTCACAAATTCCACCTCATGTTCGGCTGCGGGTCTCTGCATCTGCCTCCATCAGTTGCTGGATGGTGCCTCTCTGATGACAATTAGACCAGGCACCAATCTGGTCACGGGAGACGGCCAGTTTGCCTGGGCTCATAAGGGCTCACAGAGACTGAACAGACAACCAGGGAACCTGCACGGGACTGACCTAGGCCCTCGGCCTGGCTTACATATTATAACTGTGTAGCTTGGCCCTCTTGGGGGACCGTGGGAACAGGGGCTGTCTCCGACACTTTTGCTGGCTTTTGGGACCCTACTCTTTATACTGGGTCACCTTGCCCAGCCTTAACACATGGGGAGGTGCTTAGTTTTACTGCAATTTGATATGCCATGTTTTCTTGATACTCATGGGAGACCTGCCCTTTCCTGGATGGAGATGGAAAAGTAGAGGATTTGGGGGAGGTGTGGGAGCAGGGGGGGAAGGGAGGAAGGGACTGGGCAGGGAGAATGGAGGAGGCTGTGCCAGGATGTAAATAAATAGATGAATAAACAAAAAAATAAAAATTAAAAAATGTAAGAGTTGCTGTCGTAGGGGCTGGAGAGATGGCTCAGTGGTTAAGAGCACTGGCTGCTCTTCCAGAGGACCCGGGTTCAATTTCCAGCACCCACAAGGCAGCTCACAACTGCCTGTAATTACAGTTCCAGGGGATCCGACACCCTCACACAGACATACATGCAGGAAAAACACCAATAAACATTAAAAAAAAAGTGTTGCTGTGGTCATGGTGTCTCTCCACAGCAATAAAACCCTAACTAAGACAAACCAGCCTGGGCTACATAAGATCATTCTAAATAAGATAAGACAAAAAATGAGCCGGCTGGTTGTGGTGCTCACTTTTAATCCCAGCACTTGGGAGGCAGAGCCAGGCAGATCTCTGTGAGTTCAAGGCCAGCCTGGGCTACAGAGTGAGTTCCAGGAAAGGTGCAAAGCTACACAGAGAAACCCTGTCTCGAAAAAAAAAAAAAAAAAAAGAAGTGAAATGAAAAAGAAAAAAAAATCTCCAAACCCTCAGTACCTCAGAACATGGCCTTATTGAAGACAGGGTCATTGTAGATATCATTAGTAAAGCTAAGGTCACATAGGATGATGGAAATGGAGAGATTCTCCTGGAAGGCAAAGAATGCAGGGATAGTTGGTGGACCAGAAGCTGGCAACAGGCAAGAACAGAGTCTCAGGCCTCAGATCCTCCTAGAGGGAGCAGATTCTGTCAAGTTCATTTCCAACCTTTAGTTGCCAGAGCTGGGAGAGAATAAATATCTGTTGTTCTGAACTACCCAACTGGGCACACTGATGATGCCTATAGTCCCAGCTATTCAGGGGGTCTGATACAGTTGAGCCTATGAGTTCAAGAACAGATTGGGCAACATACCTAGATGTTGGGAGGACAGCACGAAGGTCCTCATGCCCACAGATCTCCAGAGAAACCAGGAATGTTAAGCACCGGAATTGTCTTCCCAATGGGAAAGATGAAAAACCTGTTCTTCCATCCAGAAAGCTGGGAATTAGAAATGATTAACAACCTGGTGATCTGTGTTATCTGTTGGACCAGGCCATATCAAGCTCCTACAACCAGGACCAAAGGTGGCTAATAGCCCAAATGACTTCTATGCTATCTGTATGACTGAGACCTGACTGGACCCTTCTTGAGGCCCTTAAGTTAGTACGGTGGCCTATCTCTAGAACCCATTTTCTTGGAAGAAATAACATGTACCCTGAGTGGAGTTTCTATGTAATTACACTTCCTTGTGCACCAGGGATTATATTATACCAGGAAACGTTTTTTCCAAATCATACTGTGTTTAAATTTGTCGGGAATAAACCGCCTGGGATCAGACCCCTGAAGTCTTGATCCAGGTTGACAGAGTCAGTCTGAAGGAGTTTTCGTTCTCACCTCTTCAAGGTTTGTTTCCCTGCCTGCTGTGACCACCTGCAGGGTCCCCTTCCCTCAACCCCATCCCAAAATCAAAAAGTAAAAGTAAATAACTATCTGGTCTGCATCGATTTGTTATAGGGGCTGTAGGAACAGGAACACAAGCAGTGTGTCCCCAACCGGAAAATTCAAAATCTGAAATGAGACAAATTCCAGAACTTTCTGAGCACCAACATGACCCCACAAGTGGAAAAATTCCTCATGTGAGAGGTCATAGTCAAAATGAAGGTACACCAAATAAT